GGCTGTCAACCAGCTGCGGCTAACTCATGTCACAAGGGCATACATTTTTAGGTCGAAACCTCGAATAAATTTATGAAGTAGGCGTTCTTGAAGTAGGCCTGCAGATATATAAACAAAGATCTAAATGTTATCACAATCTCAGCCAAACGGAAAGGCTTCACCCAAATTACATTCCTACAAAATAGATTAGAACAATTACGGCGTAAGCAGCTTAAGACGTTATCCAAAATGTATCGTCACGATCTACTCATGTGCGAAATTTATGACTGAAAATGGCCTTGAAAACAATGGTATTACGAGGTATCTCAAGGCTCAATAATGCTGGAGTGTGATTGTCTTTTTCATCGCCAGCACTAGACACTTGCACCACAAGCGACATTGCTTAATTATAATATTGAGCGCGTTGACAAACGTTCCCAAGGGCACATGTTCTTGAAAGCATTGTGCCAGTGTCTTCTCTAGATTGTAAATATCAACACCCGTGTCAGTGAAGGGCAGTGAAATCAGAAGAGCTCTGCCCATTCTCCAGTAATGGTGACTGAAGGACCAAAACCTATTCCATGGTTTTTGCGCACAGTTTACACCGAGCACTCGGATTTAGTTTTCAGACGTCATTTCCGGTCGAGCGAAGTTTATATTAACACAGTATATCTTCGGTAATAACCTGTCTGGTGCCTAGTCACTGCCAGTTAGAGGTATGAATATGAACAACTAAGCAAGTTTATGGCCTTCGGCGGCTCTAACCACAGAGACAGGTTGTAGAAGGATTTCATTTCGTCAAACTGGTCGTTATGTGACTGCCTACAAAGCCAAAACACAACGAAGAGTTAACCACAGTGTGTACGGTGCGGTCGTGTGTGAGTCCGCCACTAGGAGATTGTTGGCCGGACCGGAGTGGGATAGGCAGGTACCAGTGCGTCTGCAGGTTCTGGCCAGAGGCAAAAGGTTACCCGTGTCAGTTAAGGGCAGTGAAATCAGGAAGGCTCTGCCCATTCTCCAGTGATGGTGACTGAAATATAAAAAAACCGTTTCCCTGTCAAACTGTTCATGAGAGACTTTCACGCCATCGTTGACGCAATTGGACGGTGTGTGGCACGATATCCGGGGTACTATCACAAATTCAAGTACTAACAAAATCTTAGTTATATTTTTTTTGGCTTACTTGAACTATCTGTTTGCTAATATCGTAGAGACTGCAGTCGCTCAGGTACCTCCCGCGAGAAGTGCGTTCCATTACTTCTGTAATCTCTAAAAAGGGTCATTAATGCAGCTTATTAACGCTTCTTGTCGCAAAAGATATACTCTCCGTATTATGCATAGCTTTGTCTTAAATAAAACCGTAGAAAAAGCTAAAGACCTCAATTAATAAAAACCCGTTAATGGTATTAAAATTGCGCTGAATTACGTATATAAATATCAGAACGATTGTGACATGCATATATGATGACAGAACCCACACAGGTTAACGTGCGAAACTCACTGTTTACCACGACGCAGTTAAGCAAAGCCCTATATTGAGGTAATTCTAAATTCACTTATCTCGGCTCAAAGGGAAACAAACCAAATATAGTATATATTAATGTTTAGTTTACTAAAGTTTTCAGCTAAATACATGCATCAATTCCTGCTCTTTCTTATCTGCCGTTCTGTTCCATTTTTTGAAAATAAGGTATCCAGAGTAATAATCATGCCTTTACCGTTGGCTCTGGGTGGCCCTGGATGGCCAAATCCCCAGCCTCACACTATCCGGGGTCGTGTACTGGCAGGAAAGCTTTGTCATGGTCGTGTTTGTTCGACGCACTTCTAATTATTGACGCCACAGATGACGTTACCCAGAGCATTTGACCTCGCACGAAAGCAATTTTTCCGCGTGCCTGAGACCTATGCGCAAATGGCCGCGCGTCCAGGCTAACCAGGCTTCGCCCATCTCAAAGTCTTACCACCACGGTTAGTGTGGATATTAGCATGCGCCGCCAACTCCCAATGCCCTCGTCACTCCAGAATTGACGCGCTGGCAGCAAGACTGTAGACAGCGCTGTATTAGCGTTAGCGGAGTAGTTCGTGAGAAGAATTGGCGTCCCCGGAAGGATTGGAACCGACGCAAGCAAGGGCAAAACTTTAGCAAAGACAACCTCATTAGCCAACCGATCTAAGAGGCCGCTCCAGGGGGCTGTAAGATTAATAACAGTTGCGCCAATTTACTAGTATTAATTGTCCAAATTGTCGGATACTTTTCTGTTTTTGTTTATCCTTATATTTTACTACGAGACGGCCCTCACAATAAGGTTATATTAAAGTTGAAGCATATGATCATATTATTTATGCAAGCGATGGATCCTGTTTATGTTGCGAACTAAGTAGAACGTAAGCCGTTCTCGTAACATCCAAGTATATTTAGGATGTCGTACATTTACAACCTTAAATTGGGCAGCATAACTATAGTTTAAAAGGGCCCAATGTCAAGAAAACAGTATGCTTTTTTCACTTTTGGCAAGTGAAGTCGCACTAGCTTCCTAGAAGTTTTGGAAACTGTACATCGGCACAATAATAAGCTCGAGTTGAATGTCAAAAAGGTATGGTACGCGGACATGCTAGTGCCTGCTAAAAATGTTATTGATAGATATCTCTTAAAAGAGAATGTTTTTTATTGATTAAGAGCATATCCATTTCCAATGCTTTTTACAGTTGGACTAGGTCTATCACCAAACTCTATGTACATTAGAAAACAATCAGATAACTGACCATTGTGGTAATTGCTTTTAGGAAATGTCTTAATTCGAAGGTTTCAATTAATCCAAAGAATAATATCTACAGGTATGAGCAATCCACCGTTCAGTTGTTAATTACTTGACACCGAGCATTACCTTTGCCGCCTACAGACCGTCAGCCAGAAAAAACGCTGCGCACTGATTGGCTGTGTGCCGCTCCAACTCGGTGCCGACCGAACTCATTGGGTGGGCAACAAGGGCAGTGTAGGCGGATCTAGCGATGACCAATCAGGTGCGTGAGTAGGAGGTTGTCATCTGAGGGAACGCTACGGTTGGGAGGCAATGGCAACCGGATTCAGACGTAGTGACGCTGATTGCTGACTTGCCAATCTCATCGGCTGCTGGCGACTCGATACACTTTCTGTCAGAAGACAGGGTGCAGCAAGCAATATTGCCAACACTTTCAACCGTCTCTCTATTGCTCTTGGTTCTCAGTTCAATCGTGATGGGTGTTCCCCTCCTTCAAACGTTCCTGCGCAACACTCCCTCCAACTTCACAACTTATAGACTCCACAGCACGAAACTTGTCATTGACGGTCCCAACATTTCCAACACCCTATATAATGAAGCAAGCATTTTGAACCAGTTCAACGGCGAGTATCTTCAGTACGAAGCCCTGGTTGAAAGGTACCTGTTGAATCTGAGGAAATGCGAGGTTGAACCAATTTTCGTGTTCGATGGTCTACACGAGGTGAGCTTTCTTTAAGAGAGCAATACAATCCTGAACGTTTTATTGTACGGTCCGAATGCGTACTAACTTATGTTTTACTTGACTGAACTATTAAGGCGATACTCAGTTGGTGTCAATCGTATACGTGTAAACGTCTCGTGAAAATTCGATGGTAGAATACGTAATTTGTAGGAAATCAGATAATCCTAAAATTTTAAACTTTTTCATCAATAATATATACGGTATTCAAGTTGGAAACCTTGAATTTAAGAGTAAGACTTTACAACTATTTGGCGACCTTTAAACTTTTTTAAACCCAGGTGTATACTTTCTTCAGGTATAAAATTTTCCTTTATAATGAGTACGAAGCTAACAAAGCTGCAGAATATCGATAAGCGGAAAATAGTTATTAATGTGCCATCCACGTGATGCGGTAAAACAAAATGCTACTAAATACTTTTTGTTACAAGTTAGCTGAACATAATTTTTAATTGTTCTTTTTTCTTGAAATGAATTCCTTTCCCTTGCATTTGAGCAAATTCTGACTAATTTCTCGGCTTTTAGAAGGGATATGTTTCGAACTTCCTTTAATTATTTTTGATTT